CTTGTAGCGACCCTAATTTTCTTAAGTCATTTATTTATTATTATGATTATTATTATCTTATTTTATTTTTGATTTTATTAATTTTGTGGTCACATGAGAATTTAATGCGGTATTTAATTAATTTAATGTGTTGTGTAATTAATTTAATGTGTTATTTAATTATAGGTAATTAATTATATTGTTTATAAAAAAAAGAGGGTGTTACATATATTGATTTTATAAAACATATTTACATATGTTGTAGTTATTTAATAAAATAAAATATATCATATTTATTTATGTTATATTTACATTGTATTTATGTTTTATAATATAATAGCCATTTGTTATATTGTAAGTGATTAGGTCATAATCTTAAGAGGAAAAGAACGTGAGAAGCAGCTGTACGGCGCGAGAGAGAGAGAGAAATCGAGGAAAAAAGTGTTTAATCGACAAAGAGAGTGCTCTGTATGGCGTGAGAAAGAGCAGAACGGTGGGAGGAGAGGAGAAAAGGAGAAAAAAAAAAAAAAAATTAGGGTTTTTTTCCGACAAATTGCTCAAAATATCAAGCGAAATAGAAATCTGAGTCGCTCTCTTCTATCTCCACTCTCTCGAATTTGCCCTTTCTCTTTCTATATATGAAGATGCGATTATGGTTAAAAGTCTCTCTCTCTCTGTCTGTGTGAAAGGGCGAGTGATCGGAATGGGGCTAACGAAACAAGAAAATTATTGTCGGAAAGAGTAGAGCCCGGCTTGATTTCAAAAAAACGAAAAACCATTAAGGCACGTTTGGAAGCTTCTTTCCTTCTTAAATTTTTGGGTTAACTGGGGACTTGTCTGGAAATATGTTACTTTAAGTTGGTTTGAAGGTTTTTTTTAGTTAAAATAGTCACAAAAAATAAAATAAATTTTTAAAAATGCTTTAGACCACTAATTAGTGGTGGCTCTAATGATGTACCCACTGCCACATGTGTTTTGTGCTTTTTTTTTTCTTTTTTTCTTTTTTTTCAATTACCACCTCACTAGTGGTAGGATTAGTGATAGCAAATTAGTGGTCTATAGCATTGCTCATAAATTTTTTAGTCTAATAAGATAAAATATTATATCTAATTTATAATCATTACATTATTTCTCTCACAAAAAAATTAAAATCTCTTCTCAAATCAGGCTTTTTAGCTCCAAGTTAAAATAGTCAAAAAGTCAACTCACTTCCCAAACGAAAGCTTAGTAATTTTTTAATTTTTATGAAAAAATATTTGAAAAAGTAGAGAGAATGATATGATAATTTATAGTGATTTTTTTGACTAAAATATATAATTAACAAACAATGTCTAAGGTTTTTTTTTTGGGGGGGAATTAACTACTTTAATTTTTTGATTTTTTACAAAAACATATTTTTAAAAAATTAAATAGAATAATGTAACAATTTATAATAACTTTTTAATTTATTAAAATCTTATTAATTGCCAAAGTTTGACTTATCTAACAAAATAAATCTGAAATTTTTAATTTTATCAATATAAATCTTAATTTTTTTGATTGGTTTTCAATCTAACTCGTTTACCTATTTTTATTAATAAAAATTGATAAAAAAATAGTATTTTAGTCATTAAACTCAACAAAAAAAATTATTGTAGACATTCGTTGAATTTAATGACTAAAATACTATTTTTTTCGTCAATTTTAGTTAATGAAAATAGGTGAATAATTTAGACAGAAAAGAAATCAAGGGATTAAGATTTAAATTAATAAAATTAAAAATTTGGAATTTATTTAAAACCTTATGGTTTTTTTGTTTTTGTTTTTGTTTTTTTTTTGTAATTTCTTCTAAATTTTTTATTTTAATATGTAGGAAACATAAGAAATAATACACGGTGGAAATAAACGGATTCGGGTATACTTTTTACTCTCAAACCAAATCTATGAATCATGTTGATAAATTGCGTGCCTCCATTGATGAACTCAAATAATTCCCAGCAATTGGGTAGAACGACTAGAGAGCTACCTACACTATTCACAGTACAAAAGTATGGTTATTTTCCCATGGTAGAGAGCTAGAGAGAGAAAAACTTTTTCCGAAAATACTATTCAATTGAAAACCCATATCACATTATATGTAATATGTATAGATACAAGAGATATGACCACCCATAACTATATCTTCCCAGGAGATGAGATTGTAAGTTATTTACATTTATCTCTAAGATAAGGTGGTTTGAAATTCAAATTGATAAGGTTACTGCATGGGTCATGCCACAATGGACACCCAAATCCGATCCGAAACTCAACCCGATTTTCGACATCTCCCACTTATACATAGGTTAGCGTGACAATGCCACATATTTATCTCAATCTCAATTTGCGCAAACCTCAAACAAACTCATACTTGTCAATAGACCGTGCGACCGCTGAGAACACCTGCATATGGAAGCTCTACACTAGAAACTCAAAAGAGCCAGCATAGAGGCACCAACCCGAAGATAAAAATAGTGTCTCATATACCCTAGACCCATCTAATTTCACCGGTCCAAGCATCTCTAATCCCTCACCGAGCATGCTTGACTCTTTCATATCATGCAATATATTCACACTCAATCCGCCTCTTATACAAAGTGATGTAAGTTGCTAGCAATGAATATACAACAGAGGTGTAATACTAAATGATCTTCCCTTCGCCCTCATGCCATTTAGTTTAGGATTGACCGTTTTCCTAGTGATGTCCCTTAAGGCCGAATCATACATGACTGTAGATAACAGAATATCAACCCCTCATCTTATAACATAGTCAAAGGTCAAAAAAAGAGTACAAAAGTGCAAGTCATATCAATAATGACACATAAGACTCACACGGTGAGGAATCAGGGATCCATTTTCTCACCTCATTACTCGGTTGCCAAGCACATGTAGTATGAATGCATGCTTCGGTGGAGTAACTCTTCCAAAGAGTGACATCATGCTCAATACACTGTACAGATCTTCGTCTAGTCGCTCTTAAGTACATGAGTCGCTTTCTACCGCCTAACCCAGATTCTCTATTTGGTCATCTTCCAGGCACCAAATGAGATCTCGCATCCAACTAATCATAATAGGCAAAACATAGAAAATGGGTACTAACATCTATGTTTAGTCTTTAACACGACCTCATCTCGGCTGCAACTAATGCAACATATATAGTGGATAATTTTAAGCCTCTGTTGGCTCTAAATAAAATAAGCCACTAGTCTCATACTTACTCGCTCCCAAGCACCAAGGGCGATTTCTCGTGTGAGTGAGCCAATATTGCCTGCTGACATCATCCTCTGCTAATCATTATGGCACAAACCATAATAGTATCAAAATAAGTGATCGATTAAAAAACACAACCACAATTTGCGCAATTCTAGATTCCAAACATAAGTCGTATCAACACCTTTTGCAATAAGCATATATAATGGAATCCACCATGTGCGCCTCACATGAAGTGGTTCAAGATCACTACCTCTTGCACAATTACCTTTCTAAAGATATTTTGGTAACCAATTTGCATTAATCTAAGATGTACCCAACAATTGCATTGAATCTTACAATGGTCAAATTTATACACTACCAGTAGAGCATCCTATCCACAGTCTAATGAGTAGGGTTAAGGTCTAAACTACTTAGTTGACTATATACAAAATATAACACTCATCATGCCGAATAAGTCCACATAGTGTATTTCAAGCTCCCGCAATTAAAAATAAAGAAATATAGGTCATATGTTTCTTCCAGAGACAATCTAAGGATTCACTTAATAGCACTCTAGCTTTTACTGATAGATAAGTTAATGGGCTTGAAATTTCACATCTAGAATCATTCTAGGATATTTTTTGGCCTTGTTTGGGAAGTTGGCTATTTTAGTTTTTGACTATTTTAGTAGGCTAAATTTTTTGTGTTTGCGAAGATGGTTGGATTTTTTTGTAGTTGGATGCAATGTTTGTGAGAGAAAAAGTGAAATGATTATGAGTTTGATGTGACATTTTGTCTTAGTGGTTTTTTTAGCTTATTTTGTCTTTTAGTGTATTTAGCCTAAAAAACCCAATTTTAGCCTTCGCCAAACAAGGCCTTTATGTAAGTCATCAAAGACAAACTGAGAATTCTCCTAGACCAATCCCTAAGGATCGTGCATTCGAGCATATAAATTACACCACCCATGTCCATCATGTCTAAAATAGAGGACTGCCAGCCCTATGTGGCAACAACCTTATAAATTCCTGGCTCATAATGACTAAGTATGGAAAAACTTCTTTTGAACCATTGGTCATGCCTCAATGGTCTTTATTGATCATCGTTGGCTCATCATGGCTCGATGAAATCTAAGAATCACTATTTGGATAACTATTTTAGGTCACAAAAGATTTATTGGAACTAGCAATCTTCTTATGCTCCTAACTTTTCGCCATAAAAGCATAAGGGAAATCCCTACAAATCTACTTATCCAATTCTTCAACGAAAGTTGGGTCACAATGTCCAAAAGTAAAGTTTCGAACTCATGTCAATCATAGCCTAAGTCAAAGTAAATCTCACCCCCTAGAAGGAAGTCTTCTGATAGTTTACACCTTCCTCAATGGTGTAGCTTTTTGGTATCTAGTGAGCCTTATGCCTCAAAAAATGACTATCCCAACTGTGCATAACTTTAGAACAGTTTTGCATCATAGCGGAAAGTCAACCAAATCCTAGAAATGGTTAATCCTCAAAGATTTTGTCTTAAAAAGCGCAACATTGATCCACTTTCTAAAAACAGGGGATTAGATAGCCTTTGACACTATCCTAGGCTCTTTATCATTTTTGTGGAGCAATCATGAATGCTTCCTTCTCAATCACCCAGTGATGATATGGAAAATTTTCATATTTGCTACTACGCAACTAAGAATGTAGAATATTATTCTCTAATGGAGTAATCCATTAGTAGGCACGTCGCTCTCACTGTCCCTCGGATATTGAGAATTTATTTCTATTCTCAACAAGGCTATAGAAAGCGCCATACTTATAATCCTCTATCTTATAGAGTTCCAAATGTCACATCTGCTAAGAAAACTTTATGTAACCAAATGTGTCAATATAGATACCCTTTTGCGACTTTCTAACTTACTTGTGTACAACCATTCCGAACAAAGTTATACATTTACATGAGAACAAGATGTCGTGCGATAACCCAACCCGTATTATGCTTAATCATACATGTGCTTATGTGTCTGATGTGAATTTGCAAGTTTAAGTATGTGAATTATGTGATTTTGGATTTATATCTGTTGAATGTAGAAAAATTTGTTGCAATTTGTAGACACCCTATTTTTTACCGCCCTTAAGACTTGGGCGTTACTGATGGTTTACTTGGTGGTAAAAGGTGTGCAGGGCAAAGGTTCAATTTCTTCGGCAATGAGAGAGTCAAATCCCAACTTCATACCCCTTTTGGACCAAAACAATCTTGATCAAAAGATTTTAGATCTTAAAACCCCCTCTTTCAAAATGTTTTGAAAATAAAGTTCCTACGATGTTCCGACGCTCGCATTTCGTTAAATGTTGCGCTTTTCGGTAAACCGAGCAAGGACAAAGTGGAGATGAATGAAAGAGAGATGAAATCTTTGAAAAATCTTTCAAAACACTTTGTTTAGGGGTTTGGAGTTGAAGAAAAGAGGAAATGAGAGAAGAAAACTAGTTTGGGAGAAGTTCGGCATGAATCCGGGTAGGAGAGAGTCGAGCTGCCCTCGCTGAATCAGGCTTATCCATTTGCATACTTGGATTTTAGGTATGAGGCCACCACCGTTGGAAAGCTTACTTCTGGGGCTTCATTTTGCACTCA